ACATACAACTATCTGCTGGGGCTTTGGGGGGAAAAAATAAAATAAATAAAATCTTTAAAAAAAAAAAAAAAAAAAGAATAAGCTAACGAAAACTATACAGAATATACACTCTGAAGAAAGTTATCAGTTACAATACAACTAAAAGCTGGAATAAACTTCGTGAACAGAAAAAGTTAAAAAAGGGGAGTTGGGGGTGAGGTATGGATTTCCATACAGGAAAATTACAAGTTAGATCTCTCTCATTAAAAAATGAAAAGGCAGGGGCCGGCCCAGTGGCATAGTGGTTAAGTTCACGTGCTTTGCTTTGGTGGCCCGAGGTTCGCAGGTTCGAATCCTGGCGCACCACTCATCAGGCCATGCTGTGGCAGCATCCCATATACAAAATAGAAGAAGATTGGCACAGATGTTAGCTCAGGGCTAATCTTCCTCAACAAAAAGAGGAAGACTGACAATGGATGTTAGCTGAGGGCCAATCTTCCTCACCAAAAAATAAAAGCAAAGGCTGAGCATAAAATCTCTTGAAACATGTAAAGTTTCTTTCAGGAAGCTCTACCTATATAACTATAGGAATTTGCTAGTCTCAAAGTCATAAATCTTGAAAACTTAATTTTAAAAACTAAACTGTCAATGTTACTTTGAGCAAACCATTTAAATCTTCTAGGTCTATTTAGTCAACTATGAATGAGAGCATTAGGAGACACTGCCCTCAAAGGTCACTAGTCTTTAAGGCTCACTTAGAGTAAAAAGCAAAATCCCGCCAATGGTCCTACATAATCCGCCTTTCTCCCGCTCAGCCTCACCTTTCCCACATCTACTCCTCTTCCTCCACCGGTTTCACACTGGCCCTTCTGCTGTCCTCAGACAGGCCAGGCGTGCTCTTGCCTGCCGTAATTATTGATTGCTGTTCCCTCTTCCCCCTGACATCCTCTTGACTTGCTCCTTCGCTTCTTTTAGGTCTTCTCTCCAGTGGTCCCCATGCAATGAAGCACTCTCTGACCACCGCAAATCAAAAAGTAAATTCCCCAGTCATGATACTCCTTACTGCCCCACTGGCTTTATTTTTCTCTACTTATTTATTCAACTTATTTCTTTTGTTTATAATCTGTTCCCCCAATTAGAATAGACTCTCCACAAGGACAGGATTGTTTGTTCATTCCATATTGTCCTGTATTGTCAGCACCTAGAACAATGCCTGGCACATAGGAAACGCTAAAATGTTTGTTGACTGAATTAATGTATAAGGTTCTGTTAGACCAAGAGGGATTAAATTATACATGGACAATAAATTCATAAGTAGTAATTAGGAAAAGCCAGGGACGTGAAGCTGTTCATCTTTAATGTCTGGGGATTAACATCTCAGAAAGTGTTCTCTGGAATCATGTTTTGAGATAAATTACTCAGTGTCATCAATTATCAATCTAATCCAATTTAGCATTTGTAATACAAATGTATTTATTTTGTTTTGTTTTTTAATTTTATTTATTTTTTTTTTCCCCAAAGCCCCAGTAGATAGTTGTATGTCATAGCTGCACATCCTTCTAGTTGCTGTACGCGGGACACAGCCTCAGCATGGCCAGAGAAGCGGTGCGTCAGTGCGCACCCGGGATCCAAACCCGGGCCACCAGCAGCGGAGCGCACGCACTTAACCACTAAGCCACGGGGCCGGCCCAACAAATGTATCTGTAACGCATTCTAGTGAAAAATATTTCTAAGCAGTACATAAATATCCAGTTTAAAGAAACGAAGAAACTGCTTAGTAAGGGAACTTGAAATTAATGTAAATACCGGCCTTAGTCTTAAAAAAAATATGAAAAGGCTTTTCAAGACACATACACACACAAAAAGGAAAACAAAAAAAAAATGAAATTCACACTAAAACAATAAAAGCTTCATATAGGAAACCTGCCTAAATAAAAGCAAACCGTTTCAAGTCATCCAGAACCAACAGGAGCACTTGTTCGGACAGATGACGTAATATGCCCCATTCCACTTCTACAGCCTCACAGGAGGTGAAAAAACGGCACAGTGACATCTCTGCTGCATTTCCCAAAAACCAAGCTAATTCTACATAATTAAAGGAAGCTGTAAGGTTCAAAGTAAATTGATAAATGCTGAAGACACCCTAGAGGAAAATTAATTAATACTTTACTAAAACATGTCCTAGTACAAAGATAGTATAGCAAATAATAGAGGGACCATGGAGAACATCCAGAAACAGAAAGGTGTGTTTATTTTCCTTATGTATTAAAAAAGAAGAAACTAACACAGCCTAATTTAATAAGAAAGCAGATTGCAAGTAACAAATAAAAGTGGTAGGTCTGAAGTATCTTCACCCTTCTAGCATCTCGCATTTAAAACATACCATTCTTACCATTCGGCTTGGGACACAGCTCTAAATATAGCATAAAGTAAGTACCTCATTAGCACTTCTTATCTATGAATTCTAGTCCGTAGGTTATAAATTCCTAAAGATAAAAGGACTTAAGAACTTCTGTCTACCATACAAGTTTAGTTTTAAAATAAAAAAATGGGGATGCTTGCCAAACTTTTCAGAGAAATTACGAATAAGAGAACATTGTCATGCAATTCTCATAGTATTTAAGAAGATTTAAAATAGTCTAGTTTCATAATTATTACTTTATCTTTTCATAAAATTTTCTAGACGTAAAGTTATATAAAATAATTATGCAAACAGCCAACCTTTATCTTTGTAAAGTGTCATGCTTTTCTGGTTAAAAGTAAACTCACCTCATCTTTTCATCTAAAACGTTTATTTTGTTAACAGGAAGGTCTCCTACAAGAGCCACGTGACTCTGATTTTCATACATTCCGCCTTCTGAAACTTTGGAGGATATAACTTCAATTTCAGTTCCAATTTGAGAATTTGCCTGAAATGACAAAACCATATTTTTTTTTTCCAACAGAACATACCTCCTAAAATCTTTCAATCATTAAGAAATGAATTCAGCTTTTTAAAATGAAGACTCAAACTGGGTATACAATGTTTACGTTTTGTTGCCCAAAACAAAACTGCCTAATTCAGAAAGAAAGTGTCAAAGATTACTGTAGTAATATGTTTACATATGCTTTAAAACAATAGCCATCTGTTGTGAACCTCCCCCAAAAAGTTTAACGGTTTGTTAAAAAAAAGTCTTTTTGGGGGGGTACAAATAAGGAATACAATCCTTTTAAATCTAGATCTTCCCCTGGTAGACAGAGAAAAGAAGGACAGAAAAACAAGAGCTGTTGAAATGGGCATTACACTACTGAAGTCTCTTTCTAATATCAAAAGATCCATGGATAAGAGATTGGTTCAACTGTCATTCAAAACAGCAGAATGTTACACAGCAGTTAAAAATGACATATCCCGATGTTTCTTGACATGGAAAGCTACTTAATGTGAAAACAGTAAGTCACAAACTAATATGTACACGATTTTATTGTTTAAATTTACATATGTGTGCACATCTGTGTGCAAGGAGATTAAGATATGTCACAAGGTTTCAGGGCTACCTCAGGGTGGTGACATTTGGGTGAGTTACTATATTATTTTGTACTGATTGGATATTTTCACAATGGATAGGTTCATTAGGAAAAAAATAAATCTATTTTCACTTAAAAAAAAATCCAGAATGAAAAACCTGAAACAAAACTAGGTACATTACGAGGGGCTGGTCCAGTGGCGCAGTGGTTAAGTTTGAGTGCTCCGCTTCAGTGGCCTGGGGTTTGCAGGTTCGGATCCCAGGCGTGGACCTATGCACTGCTTATCCAGCCATGCTGTGGCGGCGTCCCACGTATAAAGCGGAGGAAGATGGGCACGGATGTTAGCCCAGGGCCAGTCTTCCTCAGCAAAAAGAGGAGGATTGGCAACAGATGTTAGCTCAGGGCTACTCTTCCTCACCAAAAAAAAAAAAAAAAAAAA